CTCCTCCTTCCTCCTCCTCCTCCTCCTCCTCCCTCTCCTCCTCCTCCTCAACATCATCGACTTGACACCTGTCAACAAGCGATTAGGGGAAGACAAAAAGTCACATAAAATAAAAACTCGGAGGTCCGCCGGATTTCTCGGACGGATTTCTCGGGTCGTTGCTGGACCCCCCTCCCTGGCGCGCGGAGCGCGCCAGGGGCGGCGCCGGAGGCGCCGCCGGGGGGCCCCAGCGCCGATCCGAGAAATCCGCGCGGACCTCCGAGATTTTATGTTTATGTCATTTTTTGTTCCCCTAGAGGAGCAGCTGGGGCGTTCCAAGTGCCAGGGCTGAAACTAAACCGCGTTTTTCGTTTTCGTTTTGTTGTCGTTTTCCCTCGTTTTGTCTTCGATCCGCCTTTAGCGCAAAACGGAATCGAAACGAAAACGGCCCGCGAGATCACCAAAAACACCGTTAGGTCCAGCCCTGCCAAGGGCCTTGCCTTCGAGGATAGGAGGAGCTGTCATTCGGCGGCGAGCGAGCGGGGGAAGTGAGAAGGAGAAGGGCTTCTCAGAAGGCGGCGGGACTTCTCAGCAGCCCTCGCGCCGTTTCAGAGGTTCTCTGTGTCGTCGGGGATTTGCCGTTCGGGGGTTGCCGAAGGTGCCCCTGGCCCAAGGTGCCCCCAGCTTCTCGATCCATGCTGTAGCTTCGGGGGCCCTCTGGGCCTCGTGAGGGGTGCTCTGGGGGCCGTGGCGGCCTACCTGGAAGTCCTGGGGGCACCAACTGGGGCGTTCCAACGAGGGCCTTGCCTTCAAGTGCGGATGGAGCTGCCATCTCTGCCGCGGCGCGGCAGGCGGCGGAGGGGCGGCGGAGGGGCGGCGGGGCCTCCGCAGGCGGAGAGGCCGGCGGAAGGCTGGCGGAAGGTGGCGGAAGTAAGAAAACATGCGCCCCCCAAAGATGGCAACACCTTTGGCTTCAGGATTCTGGAAATCCGCCAACGGAATGGCATGACGCAGGGCCCTGCTCCCCTCCGCGCGCCGGCTCCGGGGGAGGCGGCAGGGCACCGGCAGCGCCACGAGCCGGACCTCTCGAGGGGCGCGTTCTGGAGAACATCCCGTGCCCCAAAGTGCCGAGGCGAATCCAGCTGCGGCCAGCGGTGGAAGGTCAGCAGTATCGGCGCGAGCACACACCTTCGGAGGCCCGCGCGGATGTCTTGCATCGGCGCTGGACCCCCCTCCATGGCGCGCGGAGCGCGCCAGGGGCGGCGCCGGAGGCGCCGCCAGGGAGCTTCAGCGCCGATCCAGGAAAAGTCCGCGCGGACCTTCGAAAGCTCACGTTTACGATTATTGATTCCCACAGCGTGGTCATCTGGACCCCGAGCCGCTTTTCACGGCACCAGGGGCCTGTGAGGGCACCCTGGAGGCCGAAAGTAGTCTCAAATCCTCTGTCGTGCCTCTTCCTCGTCCACTCCCACCCCCGGAAAAAAAAAACATAAACATCAGATCCGCGATGCCCCCACCCCCCCTGCGCGCCAGGGAGGGGGGCCCAGCGGGGAGCCCAGAACTCCGAGCGGACCTCCGAAAGTTTATGTTCGTGCAGCTGTCTGCTTCTCTATACTCCAAAACCCTCCTTCGTGCCCTTGCTCATGTCGTTCGTCCTTCTCCGCGCCCTCCTCCGGCCGTCCGGGGCAGGCTCCGCTCCTTGGGACCATAGGGCGTGAACTTCCCCTTCAGCTTCTTGAGCTTTTTCGTCAGCGTCTCGCCCGCGCGGGGGGAGGGGCAAGCGCTGCTCCCCGATCTGATAGCCACACGGAGGCGCCTGACGCCTGGCGCCTGACGCCTGCCTGTATGTGCGTGTGGGTGTATGTGTTTTGTGTGTGCTTGTGGTGTGCATTGTGTGTTGTGTGCGTTGCTGGTCTCCGAGAACTCGGGCGCTCCTAGACGCGCGCGCGCGATTGCTGCTCCAGATTTGCCCCGCCCTGTCGCTGCGCGCAGGAACGATGACGCCAAGAAGTGTCGTGTGTGTGTGGTCTGTGTGTTGTGTGTGTGTTGTGTTGTGTGTTGTGTGTTGTGTGTTGTGTGTTGTGTGTTGTGTGTTGTGTGTGTGCGTTGCGTGCTGTGTTGTTGTGCAAGTGTTGCGTGCTAGTGTTGCGCGCAGGTGCTATGTGCAAGCGTTGTGCAGAGCTGTACTGTGCAGGTGTTGTGTGCAAGTGCTGTGTGCTGTGTGTGTGTCGCGTTTGTGTTTTGTGTTTTGTGCTCTCGTCTGCGGGCCCGGCCGCGCGCCCACGACCTGCGCCGCCTCGCAGCCGCGCGCGGGGTCGCGACCGCGCAACAGCGTGTGCGCGTGTGTGTGTGTGGGTGTGCGTGCGTGTGTGTGTGTGTGTGTGTGCGGGTGTGTGTGTGCGTGCGTGTGTGTGTGTGTGCGCGTGGGTGTGTGTGTGTGTGTGCGTGCGTGTGTGTGTGTGTGTGCGTGGGTGTGTGTGTGTGTGCGTGTGTGTGTGTGTGTGTGCGTGGGTGTGCGTGC